TTGGAGACTCACGTTCAAAGCTCTCCCACACCCTAAATTATTTTCCTAACTGACTTGATCGTTGGAGTGTGCGCAGCTAACTCCGTCAACCTCCCGGATAAGGCCACGTGTAACTAACGTTTGTCCAAGTGTGCAGTAATCTAGCTTACGTGGACGTGAGAGGTTTTGGAATTTGTTGCCACATCATTAGTACATTTTTGGGGTCAACAATGTTGATGCCCTTGCTTTTCATCTGGGAATGTCCTTGTCGTTATTTTTTAGGTACTTATAAAAAAGAATAGAATTTTGTAATGATGGAAGAATTAAATATTATTATCATTCTTGATATTTATATTAAGTTTTGTTATTTTTTAAAGGGCTATGTGCAGTTTTTGAATAACTATGGATTTTTATGAGTATAAAAGTCGTGTTCAAGATTTTGGGTTTAGATATTTTGATTAGAGGACTCTATATGCATTATTCTTATAATTTGTGTGTTTGAATCTTTAATGGGATATCTAGGTCTTTTTAAAGTTAAAAATGAGATTGAAAATAGGTCTTTTGAGTGTAGAAGTCTCATATGTTTGTGCCGTGTACGTGCACATATGTTCATTTATCTCTCTCATTATAGAAGTCGGGAAATTAAACTTTTTGTGTTTCTTTACTACGCGAAAATATGCACTTTTAATTATGGACTAGAACTAAAAAATAGGCACTTTTAATTACCAATACTTCGTACATGACACAAACATAACTATCTTTTAAGTGAATCGTTTAATTTGTCAAAATGAAAGTCTCGACAGTTATGAATTCTCAACAAATGAGTAATTCTTGACAAATCAGTTATGTGACTCATCTATCGAGATAAACTATAATTCTCGACAATTAGTTTCAATTATTCTTGATAGATGACTAAATTTCGACAGATCAATTGAGTCATCTGTAGATATGAATTGTCGTTCTCGACAGTTAAAGTCAGTACTTCTCGACATATTAGTTTTTATCTTTTGTCGTTAACAACTAAGAAAGACACGTGAATATTTATTCATTATCTTGTTTAGCGCACATCAACAAAATTATTTGATTTACAGTTGAATCGACACTTATATGCATATAAATGAATTGAGTAATGTTATTCATCCCCAGTGGGGTTACAAATACAGTTTAGGTAACGTTAATGTGACATTAAGTAATATGTGAAATTAAATAAGTTATTTAATTTCTCTTTTCATTTAACTTATCATTTAATTTCACATTTCATCCTCACTGAAATTACAAACACAGTCTAGATGACGTTAAACTGTGTATGTAATCCCACTGAAAATGAATAGCATTACTCAAATGAATTTGGTGAGAGTTGAACATTTTGTGGTTGGTGCCTTAATTTCTAAAACATAGTAATAACTTCGGGAAGAGTAAGCATAGGACAAGAAATCAAACTTGGTTAAACTAACTCCTTTAGTCAAATGCGTGCTTTGTAATTTGTAAATGAAAACAAAATTTTGGTTATATTAATGTTAATTCCATTTAAATTAACTTGTGATGTACGTGACGTGTCCATTATTGGACTGTGACCATTATGAGAAAAATGAATTTTTTAAACACATTCCTTAACCTTAACGCTCAATTCATGTCACCATGACTTTTGTATATTGTTAATGCAAAAAATTAGGGTTTGTTATTCGATTTAGGCTTACTTTTCAAAATATTTTTTCTTTTTTTTTAATTAAAAAATCATATTACCCAATATAATATACACATATTCAATGTTTATAGTACACAAATTAAATCATCACATCATAGTATTATTGTGCATTCAAATCAAACATTAATGAGCATTAAATGGTCTTAAAAAGATATCACTAAAGGTAATTTGGACATTTTACACTGAAAAATAACATTTTTTAGCACCATAAGTAAAAAGTGAAATCTACGAAAAATCCACTTCTTGGAATAATAAGACAATTGATCAATCTCTTAATAAGAAACTAGAAAACAAGCACCGATAGGAAGTGCATACCAGACACACTTTTGTTTCAATTCATTAATAAAAGAAATCTTTAGCTAATCGACAACGCGCCAAGTAGGAGAAGGCGATTTATCGACTTTTAGGCCAGTGATTGAGAATGTGAGGTTACTACTCATTCTAGTCACCCGAGTTATAACAATCATGTTATTGTACAGCAAAACAATGATCTATGATAAGGTTTTACACGCTTATGGTGCTTATAAATTTATATATTTGCAAAGTGAGCGTATTTTTACTTAATTTTGTGTAAGTATTTATTGTCTTAGATAAACCCCTAATTTGGATATAAGTGGAGCAAAAGGGAAGATTTTGAACTTAATTGAGTTTGGTTTGAAGTAATTGAAGATTTACTTGATTGCACAGGATTGATGTAAAGCATTAAGAGAACAGTTCAGAGAAAAATCACAAGTTCCTAGAGTTAAATTGAATTTATGTAAATTTTGTGGATTGATTTGCACACTTTCAAACTGAGGAAGACCGATGTTGGATGACTATGGAGAGTCAGGTACGAATATGGACACTTTTGGGAGTTGAAATACCGATATTGAAGATTTAGACCCAAAAATTGTATAAGATACTTGAAGTAGGGAACAAAACGTAAAAAGCAAAAAACTGGAGAGGGATAATCGCAATTTGAAAATCTTTGAAAGCTTGTTTAACGCACCAGGCACCCCGCCCCGTCTAAGGCGAGGCGGGGCTTGGGCGGGTGGGTGCAGGGCGCAAGGCTGCCCAGTTTCTTGCCCTTTTTAAAAAAACATTTCCAATTAACATACATATTCAAAATTTTTAAATCCAAAGCAAATAATATTCAAACTAACTACATTAATATCCAAAGCAAGCACTTAAAACAAAAATGTCCCAAATAATTTTTTTTTAATTCTTCACGAGCCGGGTTCGCCTAGCCGCCCCGCCCCTTCCAACCCGTCAGGACCCGGGGGGGTGGGTTGAGTTTTTTTTGCCATCACTAATTCTTCATGCTAGATTTTCATTTTTTTCTCATTTCTCCTTTAAGCTCAGTGAAGTATTACAATACTTTTATGTATTTTTATTTCTTTTTCATGTGTTCTAAAACCATTATTTGGGATGAACATTGTAATCTAGATTTCAACTTTTAATTTCAATTCTCAAAGTTTTGTGTAGTTTATTAATTTACGTATTGATCTACTTTTGTTCTTAATGCTTGAATTACTTTTATCACTACTTCAAGATTAGTGAATTGTAACAATAAAGAAATGAGTTATAAATTTAGACCATATAGTAAATTTTGAAAGTTGGGTACAAGGTAGAGATACACTCTTAGTATGGTTGTGGTCTTTAATTGAATTTCTAGGTGATTTAATGTGTTTAATTCAGGCTTATTTAGACTCACATATAAATATAGATTTGACTCAACTAAATATAATTAATTTGAACTCGAGATAAATAAATAAATTTAATTAGCGAATTCAACCGAGTACAATTTTAAGAATTGAACTTATGAGGTGAGAATAAGGCCCTGTTTGGTGCACATTTTTTGTAGAATAATGCATTTTGTTGATGTGATGGATGGGAAATATGTGGTTGAAAAAGAAGGAAAAGTTATTGATGTGATGAAAAATATTATTTTATTGAAAAATGTATAGTTGAAAATGAGTAGAAGAATGAAAATATTAATGTGGACTAAACAGGGCCTAAAGGTGACAAATATGATTAAATCGCGAGTTACAATGCCTTAATTATCATATTTGAATGTTTTTAATTAAAGTTATCCATAATTCAAAGAAAATACTTCATTTAATTGGTTTTGCTTTTCTTTAACTTAGTTTTAATCAAAATTTTGCTCGAATTCTTGTTTTCGGCAAATAAGAGGTAGGGTTTAGATAAAGTAGTCTCCATGGGACAATAATATGGACTCTTTAGGGATTTTACTACTTGTTTAATTGACATCATAAGCTTGCGATTTTATATCAACAATTTTTTGACGCCTTTGCTAGGATTTTTTATATTTGATATTGATTTAAATTATTCTAACTTTTGTTTGATTTTATCATTTTCCCCTTTTCAACTAATCTATTTATTTTTCTGGGTTTTATTGTTGATGGTAAACGAAGAGAAGCAGAAAACCAACAATAATATCAGATGGAAGATCCTAAAATTGGTGAAAGCTACATGCTTGTAGGCGATTTCTTTTTCATGTAAAGAGTCAATATGGAGGGATATGATGCACATGCTAAAATTGATGTTGTCGACATGCTATAGGATACTTCTTCATCATGCAACGAGCTAATATGACAGAATCTTATGCACATGCAGAAATTGATGTGGACTTGCTTGTAGGGGATTTTTTCGCCATGCAATGAGATGCACTTGCAAAAATTGATGAGTGTGATTTATCTGTACGATTGCTTTTCCCAAAATCGAAAATTGATGAGGGTGATTTGCCCGTGGGATCGTTGGAGAAATAGATGATCAATTTGTATTTTCTTACAAAGATTTGGGACCCCTATTGTAATTTTTTCTTCGGTTGTTTTGCCCTTTTCTTTGTTCATTTAAAGGGGAGGAAAAAAATTCATCATCTTACGTGGATTTAACGGAAAAAATGGACACGCAAACATGAATTAAAATTAAGTGAAAGGTTGGTGAAATGCCTAACAAGAAAACAAGGTTCGAGCATAGAGGATAAAGTCTGACTATAGAAAAACTTTACATAATTTGTATCGGAGTTGATGTGGCAGTCTGTAATTGGACTTTTTCTTCCCCTATCTTCCAATGATGTAGTATCATGTGTTTTCGGTAATGATTTTTAAATGCTTGTAGCGTGATTGGAGTATAGATTAGTAACAAATGACAAAGATCGAGGATGAAAAGTGCCGATCATCTTCCTGAACGCACGCGACTTTATTTGTAAAAGTCACTGAACTGCGTGCGACTTATTTCTTACACCCGCTTTATCCTCTAAAATTGCAGCACTACTATTTGCCGGTCTGTTGCTTCTCCTCCATAAATAGAAAACATGAATCCCCTCAAAATCAAGCTTCACCACCACCGTTGCCACCACCATCAGCTTTGTCTAAATTCCAAAATTACCCCTACTCTCCCACCTCTCCTCTTGTTTCACCCATCTCAAAAACAAAAATCCAATTTTTCAGTATCCTATACTCCATTACTTTTTTCTTTTACTAAATATGCAAAAGCATCGGCTATTCATTCTGAAACCCCATTTTTTGCTAACAAGAAAATTGAAGAAGAAGAAGAGGAATCTAGAGACTTTGAAGAATACTTAGCCGAAGATGGAGAGGTTTACCAGAAGACGTTAAGGCTGGTGGAGTGTGCTATGTTCTCTGCTGTTTCTGGGCTGGCATTTCTTTTGAGTAACTCTCTTGCCATTGAGGTATAGTTCGGAGTGTGTATGTGTGTGCACACTCTTGTTTCTTTAATTTCAGCTTGTCCATTTTGGTTTATATGGGGTTTGACTGGAACTTGGGTTTTTAAATATGGATTAATATGTGATAATGTCTGTGGATAAAGACTAGATGATTCTAAATTATATTAGTATTTCTTGTTTTAATTTGGAATATTGTTTATCCGTGTCATTTGATTTTGGGCGGATAGAATCTTTGTTAGTTTCTTAATATGGCAATACATGATATGGGTTGTTGTTAAAGATTGGACTTTTCAGCCTTTTGAGGGCTCATTGTTTCAAAATTGAATGTGTTTATCTGGGTTATTTCGTTCTTTTTCTTGTTTTTTCGATCTAATTTTGGTTGTTTATCTTAAGATTTGTCAGTGAAGTGTGTAAGTTCTTTTTGTGATTGAAAAACAAGGATTGGGCTTCATTTTTGTTTCATTACTTTGTTTGCTAGGAATTTGAATTATTCAAGACTCCAAGTGTATGAACTGCTATTATTTGGTATGTTTAAACCAAATTTAAATATAAAGTTTGTTTGCATTAGTGAGATAAAGCTGAATTGAATTGAGGGGGCTTCTAGAGTATTGCAAGGGGAAAACGTTATTGTAGCATTGAAGAAGCTTCATGACTAATTAAATTATAAAAAGTGAAGTCTTTTGGTAAGTACTTCACTTAATTAGTGAGGAGATTCTACTTTGAATATAGTTTTCATTTATGAGAAGACAAGTGGTTTATTGGTATTCAAGGACCTAATGACACAGCCTCACACTAGTTGATGATCAAGGCCAACAATGCCGTAAGGTTTGAGTTAGGTTTCCACTTATCTTGGTATGTTTATGTTGTGGAAACCTATGAAGAATAATAGTTCTATGAGTCTTTGAAAATGCAACATGGTCACCTTGGTTGTATGGCTCGTAATGTAATGAAGAAAGCATGGAATTTATTAGTGCAAGTGCAAATATGACATCAGTTGAAAAGATGAGGCAAAATCAGTAGCCGTGGATTAGTCATGTGGAATGAAGACTGCAGGCTGCAGCATATCTTATACAAGGGGATTCTATGCTACACAAGTCTGGAACTTCAATTGATTATATTAGATCGTATCCCTGCTTATTGGTGATGTACATTGCTGTCAGTCCCTTTCAAAGGGTTTGCCATGTATCAAAACTGCCTAAATCTAAACTTGAATTAAAAATGCGGTTGAAGATAAATCTGAATTTTGTAGCTGATTGTCTTTTTCGTTTATAATTTAGTTTATACAAAAAATAAAGGCTAACGGTTGACAATTTTGTTACATTCCAAATATTTTCCTCCCTCCCTCCCACTTTGTCAAGCTCAAGCATCCATATTGCATCAATTTAGGACTACTGTTTTGTAATAAATTTCAGTTAAACTTGTAGAACTGATAATCAACAAACTGGATTTTTTGCTTCTTACTCAATATATGATCCATTGAACTTCTATTCTTAGGTCACTTACACTCTTTTACAATTGGACTTTTCACAGAAATATTTCGCTTGCTTCTTTGCATTGCCTATAGTATTATCCAGTATGAGATGGGGCATTGCGGCTGGCAGGAAAACTATGGTTTGTCACCCCCATTAGCTACTCCGAATCTCGATGGTATTAAGTGCTTAACATATGCACCAGTTACATGGTTTTTCTTTCTTTGTCAGGTGGCAACTGCTGTATTACTTTTTGTCTTATCTGGTCCAGTGAAAGCGATAACCTATCTGGTGAGCATCGTTGAATCTGCATTATAAGATATTTCCTGCACTTACATTTTTTGTGGGTTAAGCTGATTTAGTTTTCCTGATAATCCAGTTCCAGAGATTCTCAGGTTTTAATAACCATTCTTTTGATGCAATTAGACTGCCAGCAATTGGTCAGGGTCCTATATTTCCTGCAGTAGATAACCTTGTATTTAGGGATTTGATGGGGATGAGCCCAAACAGAAAAGGGGGAAAAAAATAAAATAAAATAAAAGAGTAGAAAAAAAGAAGTGTTTTGTGATGATGCAGTGCGTTCACAATTTAAATAAATTACAGGAATTGCTATTGCAGCTATCCCCACCTAATTAATATGCTTTGGAAACACTGTTATAATCCATGATTGTTTCTGGTCATAATTTGAAATTAAATGGAAATTTGAAATAACTTACGGAGCTGCATAAATCTTTTTTACTTCATTTTGTACATAAGCTTCATGCAGAGGGAGCTCGCAACTTCAGTTTCATATATATCCCGAACTGCAAAAGAATTGCTGATGCTGCCTTTATGCATGAAGCAAATCTATCTCAAATATACGATTTGCTCTTCCCTCTGCTACATCGTACTGTCACACATTGACTTTTTTCCGTAACAACATTGATGTTTTATCTAGTCTTGCTTTGTCCCTTTCTTTGAAAAACTTCGTTAGTAGTATCACTATATACCATGTTGTTTGCCGCTTTCCTAGCTTAATTCTGCAATATAAGAAAGATTGATCTTTGCTCGAGAAATAGTCAAATAGCCCAAAAATTCAAGGTTTGATTAACAATGTTGGACATAGGAAGTACCATCTTTCAAGTAATAAGCACACTTTCTATTTTTATCTCTATTGAGAGTATGCCTCGTTTATTTCTTGGATTTTGTGCCATCGATAATAATGATGATATTTTCTTTTTGATTGAATAACAAGAATATGGTGTCTGATCTTCTCTCTCTCCCCCCGCCCATTTTTTTTCCCAAACCAGTTATTGCATGGGCTGCTTGGTTTTGCTATGGGTACTTCTTGGAGGTATGCATTACACGGCTATTGATAAAGTTTGTGAATATATTTACTATATCTGCCAAATTTGCAGGCATGTTATTTTCCAATTTTTGTTGTGTTGAAGGGAGATAGTGTTGTCCCAAAGAGTGATTATTTTATGTAGATTCAATTATTAACAAGGTAGGACTTGAAAAGAGTGCAAAGCATAGAATAGAGTTGGTTGGATGAAATGGAGAACCGTTACCAGAAATTTATGTCATAGGAAGATACTTAAAAGTTCATTTCTTTGAAAAACAGCAATGCAAGTCTGTCATTTAATTTTTTTTATAGAGATTGCATCACTCTTGATACTTTAGCTCTGTGGAGAACATGCTTCAACCATCTAAGTCGTCATTCGATTAATTTGTCTTCAGTTGGTGTCTGATCCACTTACTTTTAGGCATACATCCTCATTTCTTATCATATCACGTTGGTGTCAGATCCACTCTTAGGCATACATCCTAATTTCTTATCATTTCTATTTTAACATGGCATGCATCTATCTTAGCATCCATATTTCAGCTATGTTTGTTAACTTTGGGACTTCCTTCTTTGCTTTACGACTCTAGTCCATCCAATGGCAGCATGACGTTTTATTTCTGTTCTTCTCAGGTCTCAAACAAGTTGGAGTACCTCAGTTTTCTTATGCTCATTTGTAAAGTTTGCTCCTTTAATCAGTTTCCCTTTACCCAACATTTTTTCTTTTAGCCATGACTGAACCAGTAACTTGCATATATTTGATTTCCAGGTTCGAGCCGTGGGAGCTGTGGGGTATGTTCTAATCTCCTCATTTTTAATAGGAGAAAACATCCTTAATTTGGTAATCTATGGTCTTCCTTCTATGCTCTTTTTCCCAACCGTCAATTGTATCATCGAAGACAATTTTGTTTTCTTATATTCTCATTTTTGGCTTGTAGATTACGATAAACATCCATGCTTTACTCACCTATATGCTCACATCCTTCGGCTTTAATGCAATTCCATCAATGAATTTGATATATTTCATCTTCGGCTTCCTGGTATGTGTCGCTTGTGGCTTCATTTTTGGCTTTCTTGTATAAGAAACTAAAAGCTACATTCTTATCTTTGCCTCTTGACAGCTTCTACTCAACTGTGCTTTCTTCGTGTTCTTGCTGCATCTTTTATATGCCCTATTTTTTACGAGACTCGGGATGAAGGATTCGCTAAGACTACCAAAATGGCTGGCGGCTGCAATATAAACCGTACAACAAACCATGTCACAGAAATCATGTGTTGTGTATATCACACCATACTAAGAGGGATACTATAACGGGGAGACCAAGTATTGAGCCATTACTCGGTTAAGTTACACGTGCATTGGCGTGCTAAGCTCAATTTTTTTTTTTTTACAGTAAGGATGCAAGAGTTGTCACAAGCTGCAGGAATGTGATGTCATTATGATTTGTGTTCATCTTGATGGCACCACTTTTGGAATTTGAAGATGCCTCTTCATGGGGCAGAGCTTTGGTAATTCATGTTTGCAAACGAGCACCTTTAGTCTACTCAATTCTACACCCTTCAAAACTCAAGTTTACAGGATTCTATTTTTCCTTGTCTTCATGTAATATTACAGAACCAATCTTCTAATAGAAGTAACTTCGTTCAGGTCGCTCCATCAGGTAAGAAGAGTACAGGGAAACAAATATTTTATAATTCAGCACATTAAGCAAACAAGAAATAATAATAATAATAATAATAATAATAATAATAATAAACATTGATGTTAGCCTACCAAACATATACCAAATCTGATATACTATAAGTTATATTAAACAAAACTGTCCAACCAAACTAGTAAAGCAACAAATTCTCCGTATAAAAATTATATGATAAAAGTGTCAATCATGATCAGCAACCGTTACTACAGTAAATAATAGTGGAGCTAATCCTTGTCACCAGCTATTGAATTTTGTAAATAAAATGTTCAACCAAAGAAAGGGTATCCTGTGGACTCCAATCTTGTGGCGTTTTCTGCGGGGTCTCCAGCTAGAAAATGTTTTCTGGAAGTTGACGTACAAAGAAACAATAAGATACATAAATATGGGGACGAATGAAAATTGTGAAAGGAGTGACACGATGACGTAGGCAAACCACGAAAGGATAAGGTGTTGATCGCGTACCGAGATGATAATGGAATCATGGTGGCTCAAGCTTCTTTCCTTGTTATCCTGCATTTGTGTTGAAAAGCATTAAAAAAGGAATTCATTCAATAGGATTAATGTCAATTTGTCCCAACTGGAGAATTGATTCTAAATTTAATGTCAACACGGGGAGAGCCTTATCATCAAATCAAACTGTCTTTCACAAAATTATATTGACCAGAGAGATCAATTCAAATATAAACATTGACGACTAAACTTCTCACCTGAAGCAGTAAATTCCCAAGGCCGATGTAATTTCATGAATGACTGTAGTGGCAAAGTGCATATAGAGTGAAGCTGAGTACAGTATAAGAAAATTAATATGTTATAATCAACATAATGCAGAAGGTGCACATAACAGTAAATGGAAAAGATGTACCCAAGAATGAAAGAAGTCCTGGATAAGAAGCCAGATTATACGAGCATTAAACCAAAACTCCAAGAACAAGCAGTGCAACACGCTAGAAGAACTAGGGCAGATTAAGGTACAAGTAACCACGTGGTTCTATTAAAAACTGATTGGATATCTGAACTAGCAATTAAAATAGACGTCTTCTGGATACTCTTCCTTTCTACTTAAGAGTGAGGATAAATCAAAAGAAGTAATTTAAAAGAGGTCCCACTGTATATCTGCATGCTTGAATGAACATTAACTCATTAGTGTAGGAATGCCCTACCTGTGTATATACAGTAACCAAGAAGAACCCAAAACTCATCAACTAGGGGAACTCTGCGATAATAAAAAGATTTCATGAGTGATAAAAATCAAATAAATATTCCATATCCTCCTATTTCTAGTTGAAAATATGAACATAAAGAAATTTATAAGCTGAGAAAGTCACCACACCCGTCATTTAGTCTGGCAGTGAGTGCATTTGCAATGGCGAAAGGCAGATAAAACAAAGACTGCAAAAGATAACATTAAATCAAAGAAGATTCAGTGTACCTGTGGCTTTGGTATGGTATACAAATATACGTTACACAAAGCCACTTCTCAAATTTAATGCAATTCTTAATTCTAAGAAATAAATTGGAAAATGGAGCCACGCACACAAATATGCAAAAACAATGAATTGGAAGAGTACCAAGCCATTGAAGCCATTGTCACAATTTTATACATTCTCTTTAAATAGAAATTGATAGTATTTTGAACTCAATAACGCATCAACATGACAAGGTTCAAGAAACACCAACAGAAATATAATGCAAGTCCAGGAAGCATAACTACAAATATCCTGCATCAACCATATCATTAACGTGTAGGTCCTTTTGCAGCTAAGAAACACTTCACGCAGAAAGATAATCACACGATCACATAATTTACTATTTCAGAATATGTGACCAGAAGATGCCTGTACCATGCACATATTAGTTTTCAAGCCCTTGGGTTCATCACACAGGTGAGCCAGAATCATCCTTCCCTGCAAAAAAATGTTTTCTTAGCAACAACGTGAGATAAGCTCATTATCCATAAGGATATAGGCACAGTGCTAAGCAGGAATTTCAGTATTTCACAAACCAACTTAATAACCTATACAATAGTACAAGTGTGAACATGGACCATGATGACAAAATATACCTAAACCATAGCATTTCAAGTGTCATATACACACTGGATACAAGAGTTTATTTCCAAGTTTTGACAGCGAAGAATGGTCTCTTAGGCGCTAAACAATTACAACACCTCACACTCTGATATATACGATAGTTCAAATATAACAGTATTTCTTGCAGAAGAATTTTATTACAGAACGAGATAATCACAACGCTACAACAATCAACTACAGCTATCTTACCACGAGAAATCCAAATGCTAGCCCAGTTCCCACTACGACCAGATGCGGATAGTTGCCAATTAGATCAATAGGTGATAAATAATCCCTGAAAATATATGCTTTTAATAATAGAACATATTAAATCTAGTTGAAGCAAGGGAGGTGGCGAATCAGAAATAAAGAGACATACCATATGAGGACTCCACCCAATAGCACAATAAATGGATAGAGCTGTCAAAAAATTTAAACGAATTACTAATTCAGAAACTAGAAAAGAAACATTAAAAAAGGTATTGTCCATGTGCAAATATATATACCATTGCCAGAGCTAGCAGCAAATTTCCTTTTCTTGCTTGAACAACCTTATGAACATTGTACACGCTGAAAAAAACCATGTTAACTTAAAATTGTACACTAGCTTGCTATTGCACAAAAATGCAGAAGCAGCAAATAAACTAGAGCAGTTTTCTAAGATGATTAAACTGAATGCTACAATGAAAATAAGCACTGTTTTAAATTATCAAGAGTTTCTTTCTACATGCATCTTGCTTTTGAATTTGAAAAGGCATGGCTGAGCAATAAAAACATTGACTGAAATCAATTTCTGACAGATTCTTTTAATTTATTTACTTCTCTTATAAAGCATTCCTTTTTGTGGACTTCTAACATAAATCTAATTACTGAAATGACATAATAGGTCATGTAAAATAAACTTAAACCCTTCTCTGAAATTTAAAAGTAACAGACTCTATGAAGCATAGAACAACCTGAGGATTGTAAAATAGATACTCCAATTCATATAAGCAACTCCTTGCCAAAGGACAGATAAAATAGCTTCTTTCCCTTTTAAATAAAGAAAATACTTACTTAAATGAGACTGTTGGTATAACAGCAAAGACTATCATCAGAAACAATACGGCTTTATACATCGGGACTTCTGTAGATAAACAGAAGGGAAAGAGATGATAAGTAGATTATAAATATTCATATAAAATAACAAATAGAAGGTGCAAATCCAAACCAGGATCAATGATGACTATGCTAAAAGACCAAACCAGGAACAGTGAGACTAATTATAAAATCTAATGCTAAGCAATACAGTTTATAACCATCATCATTGGCAAACGAGAATATAAAGAACACAATAATTAAGACGAAAACATGCATATTTGAGCGATAAACTTGCTTCAAATATTATCAGCCATTGAATTGTTTTCTGTTCCTTTTCCATCTCTTTAATGTGGAGACTCACCATTTATAATTGGAACCCAACTCAAGAAAGGGATACATTTTCCAAAATGTTGAGCCCACCATTCAGAACCTAAAAAGAAGCATAGAAACTCAAACTCATTAAGTATGGGTATGGTTGCATGTAGATAAACACAAGCACACAAACCAGAGCGCTTAAAGAAGTGAAGTGACCAAAGCATTACCAACAATAGCTGTGAAGAAATGACCCACATATATCAACATAAGGCCTTCAGTAGGTCCATTTATCGCTGGAAGAATGAGGGTATTGGTGAAAAAGCTGCACAAATTATGCAATATCAAGAAAATCAATAAAGACGTAACAATGTAAAAACAAATGAAAAATTTACATAGTGACCCATAGTGAACTAAATTTACTTGAGGACATGTAGAAAGATTACTGACTAATGATTACCACTAAAAGAGGAAAATGGACGGCGAAAGCAAAGGTTCTGTACTAGCTAATGGTGAAAACAAATGAAAAAACAAATTCATGCAATCCAGTGTCTGATGTCCACTTACTGTTCCCATGTAGCACAGTAAAAAGGAACCGCTGATATAACCCAGAAACAGAATGCATTCCGTCCACACATTGCAGTGCTCGCAAAGGCCAAGCCCTCAAACTAAAACATTCACAATGAAACTCAATACTATTGTGACTCAGTAACATCTACAGAATAACTAAAAAGATGAAACATACCGCACATGCAAGAGCATCACATCCTGTAAAGTTGCAGAGGCAGAGATATTTGTTAAGAATATACCAATCATGTAACATATAAACCAAGAAAAATGCAGTGATGAAAAACAAGACAAAAATGAGAAAAGAAGAGGAATATCACCATGATCAAAAAGTTCCCCCAATGGACTAGAGGAATTTGTTCTTCTTGCTTGCTTTCCATCAACAGCATCAAAAGTCTTGCATGTATTTTAAAGTAAAGTTAAACGAAATACTGAAGACAGGAAGAAACTCTCAATCAAAATCATATTTAAAATGTCCAAGAATTTAGCAACACAAAGAGAACTCGCGATTTTAAAGGTTAAGTAAATAAGTAATAAATGCTTAGGGTATTGTAAGTATGGATATCAGAGTATCTAGAAAATTTTGTCTACCATGTGCGTGAAGTCACAGCAGAACATAAACAATATCCGAATCACATTTTAAGGCACCTGACTGAAAATTTAGTGTGGTCATATAAACGTAAACAGTATAAAAAATTGCACCTAAAAACCTCCAAACTACAATCGTAACCAAAACACAGTATAGCAAATAGAATTATCCTCTCCCCACCAAATTAGTGTAATTTACTTATAGGTATAAGATGTCCTACAATCACAGACAGTTTCACCAAATAAAAACTGAGACGGTTGCTTATAGAAACTTGAACATACTTGATATAAGAATAGAAGTAAGCCGTGGACAAAATTAACCCATCTTGGAGGAGGTGAATCCAATTGAGGTGAATATATCTGCAAAAGAAGCATCTATAATGAGAAAAGAATAACCAACAGTCAAAAGAAAAGTTCCAATGCTAAAACTAATAATTTACAATCGAACCAATTGCCACTACATTAACACTCAAATTTTCAAAATGGTTTGTCATCTAAATAAAATACATCATCCAAAATCATGATGATCTCTTTCAAGGGATTCATGTAGGTCAGTGATTGAACACCTTCCCTCCTTTAGTTGGTGCCTAACTAAATATGAGGCTTATGATAATTGCAATAATAAAATGCACAGACTCATTCTCTAAATAACTCTCCATACAATCAATCTTTCTCCTTTCCTCAAACGACATCTACAGACGAAGTTTTAACTAAACTAGCACACTGCCATATGTAAATGCAAAGTATTTATGAGTCAACAAGAGATGCAAAAAGAAATACAACAGTTTCATCAAGATGGACTTTATGGAGATTATCTCTACATTATAATAAAGAATCAAACAGACTTTATTGGCAAATAAGAAACATATTGTGAAACATTCAAGATCAGTTTAGAAGTGGTCAGCAAGAGTACTGAATGATAATTGTAGAAAGCTTTTAATAAAACCGTGAAATTCGAAATCTGAATAGTGGGAAACTTCTCTACTGATTACTGATGCTTCAAAATTGTCTGACAATCATATCTAAGCACTGCAGTAGACTTCTACTGTCAGATAATTGTTACACTCAAATTTTGAAAATAGCACAATAACAATTCTATCCATGACATTAAAACATAAAATCTTCATCTTGATCATAATGGACTAAATCATCGAAGCCAATCTATTGAGCACTGCTTTCTGTTTAGACGGTAAACAAGGGAAAAAAATATTTCTTTATATAAATTTTTTACTTTATATTAGTAGTACATCATACAATGTCTATACATGAGAGTGGGGAGTGTCCAGAAAAGGGAAAAAAAACTTAACATGGATAGCTATAGTTTCCAGTTAGAAGAATTCTTTCTACCATAACCCATATCCCCTCCCAATAAATCCAACCCAGGAAGATAAAAGAGGAAAGGCTAATCCTAGAGTGGAGAGAGCAGAAACATCAAACAAAGTTGAAAATTTTAAATTTGTTGGTGAAGCAAAGACTGCAGCAACCTACTTACATTTTAAGTTACATTCCAAAAGTTACAAATTGAAATCATAAAATACATAAACTACAAGAAATTATATGGGAAAAAAGGAATTATCAAATTCATCTTTGTAAATTAAACTTAAAGAGAATGCCACTTGGGATTCATATTCAAATATAAATGGAAAAAAAAAAGAGAATGAAAGACGGGAAATTGAACTTCAACAATAAAAATTTCATAAATTGAAGTTCGTGTTTGAGCCCCATTTTCTCAAAACTCATTTTTTCCAAAATTCATTTTCAATCATACATTCTCCCAGTAAAATAATTTTACATGTAAACTCAAATTTTTTCCTTACTTTTTAATCACACAGTCTTAAAAATAAAAAAAAATCACTATTCCAAAATCATTACCTCAAAAAAATGGGGCTCAAACAAGGGCAAAATAAGATAAGTTTATTAATTGGCAAAAGACTGCACAAACGCATGCATGCATGCACAACACAACACAACAGAGAGAGAGAGAGAGAGAGAGATTACTTACATAGCCAAGCAATGCAGATGTAACCAAAAACATGAATCCCATTAGTGTTATCTGGCACAAGAAAATGAATCCAGCATAAACTATTGAGCAACGAGCAGAGAATAATATATGAGCTATAGTTGATACTCAAATAGGATGAGAAAGTTTGCAAGAACTGTACCATGTTAGGCCTGAAACGTCCCGTACATGCACAAAAAGGAGGAGAACAATTAGTGATATACAAAGGAAGAAAGGAACACCTATTACACAATAACTTATACAGAGGCTCATGGAAATAATTTGGATTTCAAAAATCATTAAGAATCTGTTTGTTGTGGAAAATTTTGACTACCCATTTTCAGAAGGAGGTGCATTGGAAGGCTTTCCTTTGCTGCTAGACTAACTTAAATCCAGCACACTTTGAATGTGTCTTTCAAAAAAAATAAAGCATAAAGAAGTGCTAAGCCCTCATGCACCAGAGTGAATCAAAAAAAGCCCAGACCAGTTGACAATAAAACTAGTTCCTTCCATTTGATACAAAGTCAGATTTTGTGAAATTATGGACAATATAACAGAAAAGGGAAATGCCATATAGACCATTAATTGGAGAAGATAACTTCATTAATTCATATTATTGCCAACATATATTTCTGTATCTTACAGCTTAGACAAGTTTCGAGATCAGAAGCACATTAGCAAGAGGGGACGGCCTCATAAATTTCAAACATTTTAACATTCTGATCAGAACAAAACAATAGCTTCTCTTTCCCTTCCCCCCCCCCCCCAAAATCCATGAGCAAACTATTCCTACAGATAAAACTGACTAAGATTTTCAATCCCAAAATAATCTTACAGAAGGTATGGAAAATTTACCTTAAGGAAATTTCTAACATAAGTAGTGCATATAAATCTTCCTGCTTTTACCACATTCTTCAACTTAAACTAATAAAATTAAGGAACAAATTCTCAGGCGTCACAAACAAAAACTTAAGCTTAGTTTTTTTTCGAAAATCAACTTAGCCATTTAACATAAAAACAATCACATTTAGACATGCAATTTACGTAAGCATAAAATAAAAAATACTCATAAAAAATGGACATGAGGAATGAAACATAATAAAACATAAAAAGGGGGACTTACGGCATCCAAAGAGGGAAGAAATTAACACAGCGAGACCAAAAGGGCTGCAACACATATTTGGCTAAATATGAGTGATCCACTCCACTGTACTTGTACCTATGCAGAGCAGCTACTCCATGTGCCCCTATATATCCCATTATTGCTACTTTGTATGTAGTTTTCTTTTTTGAACCTTTGCTTAGTATAAATATAACTGTTGTAAAATTCGCTTTATCTAAAAACACCTGCAAAATCCCAAAAAATACGATCCTTACCCAAATCAAAATCCATAGAAATTCAAGCACACCATAAAATGAAAATTTAACATCACGCCATAAAATTGAGCGTAAGAATATTGAAATATCGCGTTCAAAAAACAAATCTGAGAAAAAAACACAAGCATTACGGAAATAATATTACGGAAAGGCGATACTAAAGCAACAAACAATTAGTTTTCAAAATTAGATAAAAAAGGACTAGGAAATCACACCAGCGGAATTGCAGAGAGACAGAGATCGAGTGAAACCACAGAGAGATCAAAGATTCCTATTTCTGTCCGAAAAACGTTTGATTTGTGCAAAAAGCAATCTTTCCTCTCCCGCCCAGTCATAAAAAGCGTGCTTCTCCATCCCAGTCATAAAAAGCGTGCTGATCGATAAAGCTACTAAAAACGCTTTCTTGGTTATGAACCCAAAAGAAAATGAATATAATTGGGGTTCGTTAGCTCAACTTCCCTTTCGTGAAATCGAATAAGATACTCTTTCAATGCTGTTCTTATCAGTTAATAAATAATCTATAATCAATTCCAAGCCAAAAGAAAATAGAGATCTCGACCGAATATTCCAGAATTTTTTTTTTCCTTATTACTTGAATGTTAAGCCAAGTTTTGATGCCCTAACACTCCAAAATCTTTAGTTTTCTTATGATAAACTTAAGGGTCCGTTTGATTGTAAAAATGAAATTTGAGTGGAAAGAAAATGAATATCAGATAATTGAATTGCCTAAAACTTATTTTATTGAGAATTGTCAATTAATTGTGTTTGATTGGTATAATTTTTCATCTGAAAATTTTTGAAATTTTGAATCTTTTGATATTCTTTTGACTTTATTTTTCATGAAAATTGTCCATTAAAGTGATAGAATTTATTACAGTTGGGGATAAAATTTATTTCCATTACCAAAAAAATAAAAAGGAAAAAGTTGCCTAGAAAAAGCGTTTCTCACCACTTTTTTTCCTCAAAAATCAAGAAAAATGACCAAAGAGGGGGTTGAGTGGAAAATCATTTGTCAATAAAATTTTGCCTATCAAACAAGCAAAAAGATGGAAAATAGAAAACTAATTCCTAGTTCCATGGAAAGAAATACTAATATACTATCAAACATGGCCTTAATGTGATGTATTGCTTTTGAGTGAGTTTATATTCCACAGCATCTCATCTTTTTAGGCAGAGATGGCCTGCAAAAGAGACCCTTTAAAATTGTTAACATCATTCCTTTATTGTCTTTGACCTTTACATTTCATTCATATTTGTGTGTTATGGCCAAAATATGCAATTTCAATACTTTGAAACTCCGTCTAATGTAAGTTTATGATTTTGTTCCAATCAAAATCGATAAATTAAATCACCTCTTTTAAGTTATCACAAATTCAAATTTGTCATCCTAAATTGACATCAGCAATGTGTCATAGCAATATATGTGGCGGAAAATATCACGTGGTATGATACAACCAAATTTGTTCGTTTACCGTGAAACTATAATCCATTCGTCATCCGATCAATTACGAGATATTTATATGTATCAATCTCAATTATCGATCATATTTTTTATCCAATTATTAAGTCAATGTAAGTCGAAAACTCACTTTCGACTTATGAGTACATTTAGGCCAAAGATTTCATTATCAACTTAATTGGATGAAATATAGATCATAATCTTTTACTAGATAAGAGTAGCAAATCCTCTATTTATCATTCATAACCTTCATATCATTATTGACATATTCGAACGATACTGTATTAGCGACCCTTAGTCCAATATTACCAAAGTATGTATGCCCTCATATAAAATACTATGATGACTTCAAGTTAAAAGACCAATTTCACCACCAAACATTAGAGATTAACTACTAACACTTAGATAGTTATTCAAGTGAAATCTCCCCAACGAGTCTCCAATATTTTGTTTTATAACAAACCATCCACGTGTTCATTTAAGTATCACTATACTTTAGCTTATAAGATGCCACACGTGATGGTCTATCCGTAATAACGTCATCCATATCTCATTATTACTTATGATTCAAAAAATTTAAGATTTAGTCATATGTAATTTGTATTTCAAAATCACAACTCCTTGTGATTAAAACATTATTAAGATTTGAATCTACGAACTCCATTATTTAATGTAATTGAATATTAGTTAAATAATAGATCTGACATAAAATTGTATCAATTATATATTTAAAGTGTTTATATCCAAAGTTGATTGAACATGATGCATAACACTTACACAATATACATATAAAATTTGTGATTACATTGGTATTAAGAAATTTTCTATTTGTTAACCGTTGTATGTACTTGATTTTGGTCAAACATAAGCTACCATACTTACAAGAGTTACTTCTTTGTAATTTGTGTCAATCTCGATCCTAAATTCCTGATCAAGAAAGACCTCAATGTTAATGTTATTATTTTTTGATATATTGTTACCACAATATTTATTTGTTACACAATACTTTCAAATATTTTTTTCTGTGTATAAAAATGGACACAAGTAAAATGACATGAATAACGACCCAATTAGCCAGTATCATGCTCAAAACCCAAACAGCCCAAAATGGAGGATTATGGTGTCTATACAAAATTTTCAAAAAGTATTTTTTCACTAATCTTATAATAGATACGATATGTGTGTGTAGAGAGGGAGGAGAAAGAGAGTATGCCTACCAGGAACCAAATTTTGTATATGTTTTTTTAGTTTATACTTTAATAGGATATAGGTAATGATTCATATACAAAATTTGGCTTGAATTATTGAATGCAGATGAAGGGATGAATTTCGCAGGAAAAAACCATGAATCGAAAGCATTATTGTTAATCAAATTACTAATCAATAGATTAGTCTTAAAATCAAGGAATTGATAGGAGATTGAAGCTGGGAATAACAGACAGAAGCTGTAATCTACTGAACGAAAATAAAGGACAGAAAGATACCGGGTAGACCTGCTGTAAAATAACAGTAGGGAAGATGATGAAATTCTATTCATTCATGCTTGAAGATATTACAAGTAACAAGTCTATTTATAGGGAAGACTAGCTAACCAATTACTAACAAACTAACAATCTAACAAACTTAAGAAGCAACTAGAATATGCTAGAATCTGTAGCTGGAAGCAGGGGCTGAACACGTGAAGAGGAGCTGTGCTGGTGC